GAGACTTCCTTTCAATTGTATCAAGGCGCTGACCTAATTAAGGTGGTAGCATTCCACCTTAATCTTGCCACAGCCACTTGACTGCTCACAGAAAAGCCCATCAAGGGGCTGATGACATTGTTACATCACATTGTGGGAGAATCCCGGTCCAGCCAAGTTGATACAAAACCTACTGTCATAGTGTGTTTGACCCAAGTTATGGTATTTTGGCTAGCTTCAAATGCATGTAATAGCTGGACAATAAGTAAGGAAGACTAAGGAAGAATTGATGCACTTGAATTACGGTGTTGGTGAAGAGTATTGCCATTACTATGGATTGTCAGAAAACAAACAAAACAAAGAAGAAGAACAAACAAATCTATTTTGAGAAAAGTACAGCCAGAAGGTTCCTTAGGAGCAAGGTTATTTTTTAAAGTTTGTGATAAATGGAGCTAAAAAACAAAACTATAAACTTATATAAAAGTATCAACCTATGTTGCATCAATTTCAAGACAGTTTTGTAAGGAATAACAGCTATTTGGCTCATCCCCAAAGAACTGAAGGTCCTAGAAATTTAGCCATGTCAATGCAATTTTTAAAATAATATGAATTGAAGAAAAATGGGTACCCTTTAAATAATTTTCTAAAATAAAAATTAGAAAATTAAAAGAAGTCAGAAGGAGCCAAATCAGGACTGCCACGTGGATGCCTAAGGATCCAGCACAGAAACTCTCTTAAAATTGCCTTTGTTTGTTGAGAGAAATGAACAGGAGCCAAGTCCTGGTAAAGAAGAACTCCTGGGTGCAATGTTCCTGCAAAAGTTTGGCTAACTTTCTCAAAATGCTCTTACAATAAACAGATGATAGCAATCTTTGGCCTTCCAGAATGCCGACAAACAAAATGACTCTAGCATTCAAAAAAAACTGTTGCTGTGACCTTTGCTCTTGACTGGCCTGCGTTTGCTTAAACTGGACCACTCTTACTTCTTGGTAGCCATTGCTTTGACTATGCTTTATCGTCAGCATCATACTGGTAAAGTCATGTTTCTTTCTGTTGTTTTTTCCCCGTAAAGTCATGTTTCCTTGCCTGTTGCAACTCTCCTAATAAATGCTTCAGGATCTTGCTCCCAGATGTTTAAAATGTCCATTGTCTGCAGCTCAGCACAACCATGCTGTGAAGCAAGGACTGGAAAACTTGCTCAACTTTAATTTTTCAGTCAGAATTGTATACGCTGAACCAATGGAGGTGTCTATAGTGTTGTCTATTGTTTCTGCTGTTGTCAGTCGTCTTCAGTTAGGGCTGGGACACAAGTAATTGTGTCCTTGCAAAGTGATGTGGGTTGTTGCTGTTATTATTGTTAAGTATCACGGTGTCAGTTCCAACTCATAGTGACCTTATGTACAAAAGAGCGAAACAGTGCCCGGTCTTGCCAAATCCTCACAATTGTTCTTAAGTCTGAGCCCATTGTTGCGTCAATCCATCCTGTTGAGGGTCTCCCTCTGTTTCTCTGCCCCACTACTTTACCAAGCATGATGTCCTTCTTTGCTCTCTCGACAGCACGTCAAACGTATGTGAGCCAATGTCACACCACCCTTGTCTCCATGGAGCATTCTGGCCGTAGTTCCTCCAAGAAAGATTTGCTGGTTCTTTTGGAAGTCTGTGGTACTTTCAGTATTCTTCTCCAGCACCATAATTCAATGCATCAATTTTTCTCCTGTCTTCCTTATTTAATGCATATGAGGCGCTGAAAATACAATGGCTTGAGTTAGTAGCCATTACCAACGCAATAACACCTTAGTCTTCAAAATAACATCCGTGTTTTCCAAAAGTCTAAAGAGGTCTTCTGCAGCAGATTTACCCTACTCAGAGTGTCCCTTGCTCTCTTGACTGCTGCTTCCTTGAGCATGACTGTAGACCCATGCAAGATGAAGTCCTTGACAACTGAATCTTTTCTCCATTCATCATGAAGGTACCTGTTGGTCCAGTTGTGAGGATTTGGATTTTCTTTACAATGAGTTGTAGTCCATTCTGAAGGCTGTAATCCTGGATCTTCATCGGCAGGACTTCCAAGTGCTCCTCACTTTCAGCAAGCAAGGTTCTAGCTCACTCTAGAACCTGGTACTCAATAAATGTGTTAAATTAATAAATAAGATAAAGCTTTTGTTTATCATCAACTCAGGAGTGAGAGATCAACAAGAGCTCAGAGAGGTTGTCACAAGGCCACAAGGTGGCCTAGCAGAGACTTGACCCCAGAGCTGTCTGGTTCCAAAGCACGAACTACCTTTACCAGGTCAACTGTCTCCTACAGACCGCCCCCAACCTCCGTGGGCTGCTTCGAATCGAACTGCTGCTCAGATCCTGACTCCATCCCAGATCGGTTTGTTGTGTGGCCCCAGGTGCTTCATTATAAAAGGAGTGAACAGAAGCGGCCATTCCCAGGGTTGAGGATGGCAGGCAGCAGGCAGGTGACTTAGGGCAACCTGGTACACTCTTCAGATCCTGCCAGGCTCTGGGGCAGGCAGGCATGGGAAACTGGGGCCCCCTGTGGCGTAGCTCTTTCCCCCACCCCCCAGGTCGGGTTGGCCTGACCTACAGTAACTAGCAGCTCTGAGTTGCATTTCGAAGGGAGAGAACAAACTCAGAGGTCAAGGGAACGTGGCCAACCTGTCTAGACGGTAAGAGTCCCACCGTGGCGGCAACCACGGTATCCCAAGATACCTGAACTGAAAGGTCCGGAGACTGTATTTCCTGGGCGGTCATATGCGGGCAGGGTGTCGGGGGCCCCAGAGGGCAGAGCCAGGACCCATAGGGAGAAGGAGTCGCCAGCTCAGTCAAGGGTGGTGAGATCCCCCGTGAGATCTGGGAGGTCGGAGGAGTGGGGGGCCCGGTGAGGCGCCCCTGTGCCCGCCCCCGCCTTGGGGCTGCTTTGCCCAGGCGACGGCGCCCGGGCGGGGCGGGCGCTGCTATTTCGGTCGAGTGAGCGCAGCCCTCCTCCTCCAGGCCGGGGAGGGGGCGCCCACGCCGCCATATCCGCCGCCGCCGCCCGCTGCCTCGCGGCGCTCCGCCACCATGAGCACCCCCGCCTTCCACATCGCCAGCCTCCTGGAGAAGATGACCTCCAGCGATAAAGACTTCAGGTGCGCCCCGCTGCCCGACCCCGCCTCTGCGGGCCCACTCCCCGCTGCAGCGCCCGGCCCCCCAAGACCCAGCAGTCCCCAGCCTGGGCCTGGGCCCTAAGCTCCTAGTCCTCCGCTGAGGCCCATGCCCTGCCTGGCCGCCCCCACGCCTGCCCCTGCTTCTGCCTTTATTGCCGCTCAGCCACTTTCCCACGATTCTCCCTACGGGCCAGCTGGGCCCGCGCCTCCAACCCTCCCCTCCCCTCCCCTGTCACAGCCCAGCTCCACCCCTGCGCCCCCTGCCTCTTCCTTTTTCCTGGCTACTCAGCCCCAGCTCCAAGCCTGAGTACCCCCAGGCCCTAAGCTTCAGCCTGTCCCAGGGGCTCCAAGCACAAGGCTCTTCTTCCCCTAACCTCACTGAAATCCTGTACCTTCCTGGGGCCCCAACCCCTCAGCTCTGCCTTCTTCTAAAATCACCTGGACCACCTCCCTCCACTCCACTGGGGTCAGCCTCTCCCCTCCCAGGTTTGCCTGACACGCCCCTGAAACTGGGCAGAGGCAGACACAGGTAGACTAAGAGTACTTCTAAGTTTTTCAGGTGAGGACTGACACTTCCCCAAGAGGTGTGTCTCCTGTTTTTTGTTTTTTTTTTGGTAGTTGTTGTTGTTCCTTCTGATTAGGAACGCCCAATAGGAATGCTGATGGCATAGTGGTTACACATTGGGCTGCTAACCACGCCTGAGATCATCAGTTCAAAACCACCAGCAGCTCTGTGGGAGAAAGATGAGGCTCTCTACTCTTGTAAAGAAGTACATACAGCCTTGGAAACCCACAAGGGCAGTTCTCCCAGGTCCTATAGGGTCTCCAGGAGTTGAAATGGACCCTCAGCCCCCAACCCCAGCAGAACTGTAAAAATGGCAGAAACCACTGACCCAATTCCTTCATTCTCAGGAGAAATTGAGGCCCAAGGAAGAGAAGGCATTGGCTCATGGTCACAGGCGAGTTCTGGATTCTGGAAGTTGAAAGGAAAACTTAGAGACCAACATAGGCATGCGTACTGTTGAACATTCTATCACATTACCCGCATTTTACAGACATGGGAAATTGGGGTTCAGAGGAGTGCCTAGATTAGGTGCCGTCTCAAAGGCCCAAGTATTCACTACAGTAAGTAAGCACAATTGCCCCTTTCAAAACTAAACTAAACTAAACAAGTCTACCACCACAGAGTCCATCATGACGCATGGCCACCCTTTAAGACGGTAGAACTGCACCATAGGGTTTCTAAGACTGGAAATCTTTATGGCAGTAGACAGCCTCATCTTTTTTTCGAAGGGTGGTGGTGAGTTTGAACTGTTGACCATGCAGTTAGAAGCTCAATGCTTAGCCCACGGCACCACCCGGACACCTTCTAGTCTACCAATGCTTGTAAATTTGAAAAGATGCTTTGCTTCTGTAGGAAGGTGCTGTGGGGTTGGGAGAGACATAGATATCATGGCTATAACTAGAAGTAGAATTCTTTATGTGGTAAATAAATAACTAGAAGTGTTCACTATAGATCGATAAGTAAGCACCAATAAGCCAAGGCGTACCTGCTGAGTAGGTAACACAGTAGTGCTCCAACTCAGTTACTACCTCTTTGGTATGTCTTCCTGACATCCACACTAGGTCAGCCATCCTTTCTCCACAATTCCTACAAACCACCTCTGCATATTTCTGTCATGTCACTTTTTAGCCTGGTTGTCTGCTTTTGTTGTGCCCTGGGAGACGCTAGGCTCCCAGACCACTGGGACTGTGCACTTTCTCTCTGTTTCTCCAGAGACTGTCCAGGGTACATAGTCGGTGCTCAGTGAATATTTTCTGAATGGAAAGTAAGGGACCCTGAATGAATGCTCAGTCAAAGACTCCCTGCTGTGCTCACCACACTACTGGTTGATAGTGATTGTTCTTCCTGTTCTGAAATTTGCAGGGCTAAAGTCACATGCCCAAGGTCACATAGTTGGCTGGTGGCCAATTAGTTCCACTGTCCATTGGGCCAGTGAATGAGGACAGGGAGGAGGCTTGGGTGCCCAGCCCTACCAACTAGGCCCTAAGAAACTCTTTCAGCCCTTCGCTGCCAGTGGCTCCAAGCACACTTAAAACCATCCTGGTGGGGTCTATTTTTAGTTCAAATATCAGGGGACTGAGTGGTGCTGACCAGCTGCCCAGGCACCCATGTGGCTAAGTGTCTCAGCAGAATTGCATCTAGAGTTTCCCTGGGAGGAAACAGACTGTCTTCTCTGGCACCTGGAGGTGGGTGGTGACTACAGGTGGGGCTTCCCTGCAGGGTGTAGGAAGCCTTTGATCCCTGCTTGTGAGCTGCTCCATTCCCACTTAGACACCCATCGTCAAAACAGTTCACTTTGGGGTCAGAGAAGAATTCTCAAATCATTTCTTGAAGAAATAATAAATAATATTTGGTTTAAGAACCAGGGCATCTGACACATTTCAAAGCCATAGCTGCTTGCTGCTGAGAGATCAGTGTCATTTCCAGGGAAGGAGTGAGACCAACCCACCCTGACTGCTCAACTTGCACACTGCCTCTTTAATGGTTGAGTCCACAAATAAGCACTGTAGCAAAGTTGTAGGGTACAAGGTCAACAAACAAAAATCTGTTGGGTTTCTATACACCAGCAGTGAGAACACTGAAAGGGAAATTGAACAATTCCACTTACAGTATCGTCTGAGAGCTAAATACCTATCAATAAGTCTAACCGTGGTTGTGAAGTAACTATACAATGAACACTGTAAAACACTGCTGAGATTCACGAAGACTTAAGTAAGTGGAAAGATTTTCAGTGTTCATAGATTAGAAGATCTAATATCATGAAGATGTCAATAATACCCAGAGTGATCTAGAGATTCAGTGCAACCGCGTTCAAAATTCCAACAGCCTTCTTTACAGGAATATGAAGAACAAGCCTCAACTTTCAATGGACTGGAAAGAGGCCCCGGCTAACTAAACCAAGGTTGAAAGAGAAGAACAAAGTAGGAGGAATCACACATCCTGAATTTCTAACATATCGTACAGTATAGCTACAGTCATAAAAGCCTACTAGAGGTAGCACAGTAGACACATAGACCAGTGGAATAGAATTGAGAGTCCAGAGAGAAACCAACACATCTACGGTTAGCTGATTTTTGACAAGGCTTATAAGACCATTTCATGGGGAAAATAAGGGTCTCGTCCATACATGGTACTGGGGATATTGGCCTTCCACGTGCAGGAAAATGAAAGAGGACTCAAGCTCCACACCATACACAAAGACAAATTCAAAAAGGACTAAGGAAATTATTAAGAGAACAAGCAGGGGCAATGGCGTCAGGCCTAGCTTTCAACAATGGACTACCTAACATAACAACAAAAGCGCCAACGGCAAAAGGCGAATAACTAGGACCCCAAAATAACTTAAACTTGTTCATCAAAAGGATTTACCAAAAAAAGGGAAAAGAATGGCTACCCAGGACTATCTCGTTGGAAACCGCAGATCTAACAAAAATCGAATACTTTAACCACTTAATAAAAAGACAACCTAATCTAAATGAGTAAAAGAGTATATATTTCAACAAAGAAGATATTCAAATGACCACTTAACACATGAAAAGATGTTCCACATCGTTAGTCATCAGAGAGCTGCAACTTATAGCCACACGGAGACACCATTTCCCTCCCACTAGGATGGTTAAGAAAAGATGAAGAACTATAAGTGAGGAAGAGGGAAAACTGGAACTTTTATCCATCGCTGGTGGGAATGGTGCCACGTGCCGGTTCTTAAAAAAACTCAAAACAGAACTATCATACGACCCAGCAGTTCGACTCCTAGGTATGTGCTCCAGAGACCAGCAGAGACTCACAACGAGGGTGTATGCCAATGTACACTGCAGCACTAGACACAGTAGCCATCAGGTGGATAGACCTCAATTCTTATCAGTAGGTGAATGGCTAAATAAAATGTAGATACTTACAATGGACTGCTACTCAGCCAGTAAGAGATGTGAAGTCTTGCCACAGGTTAACAGAAGGGGTGGGACATGAAGACATGCTGAGTTAAATAGTCAATCACATAAATGCAAAGACTGACCTCACTTATGTAAAAAGACATGTAAAGGCAACTAGAGAGAGACCAAAGTTCCTTCGTGGTCACCAGGGTGAGAGGGGTAAAAGTGGGGTATTAATGGTGGTGGAAGAATTGCATTGGTTAAGGCTAGGGTTGCACAGCAGTGCTGTAATTGTTGTCATCCGTAAAAGGTTGATTGGGTGACAATTGCATGATATATTTCCAACAGTGACCAAAAAAAGTGGCTGTTGAGGCTACTTATGTGCAACCAAACACTCATGGGATTTGATGCCATTGTTTCGAGGTTTAGGGTCCTAGTTTCATGGGATCGATCAGTTAATTAGCTTAACAACGTGTTGGGTTCATCTCTTCTACCTCCTAGTTCCTTGTATAATGATGGAGTCTTAAAAGCTTGCAAGCAGACCATCCAAGCCACAATTAGTCTCTGTTCACCGGGAGCAACAGAGGAAGAAGATGAGTCCAGGACAGCTGTAGGAAATGGAATGTGTGGCTAATTGTCTCAGTGAACAACTCATTGTCTCCTTTGCCCAAAGACCAGAAGAACCTGATGGTGTCCAGCTACCAGGATTGCATATTTTGTTCTAAGAGTCCATAGAAGAATCCTGATCAAAAGTAGGAAATTGCATGTCAGAGTTTCACATTTTCACCACTCTAGACTTTCTGGAGCCATAGAGGGTGGATGAAGCCCTGCCCCTATTGACCTGAGATCAGCTTTTAAATAAACAATATCCCTGAAGTCTTCTTAAAACCAAGCAATAGTTTAGCTTAATTAGCCAGAATATCTGCCTTGGTCCTAATACTCTTTTAAGATTGGTTTCTGTGGGATCAGTTTGATGGCAACAACTGGAAGGATTAGATTGGCACTGTGGACGGCAGTGAGTTGAGAAGAACGGGTTGGAGAAGAACGGGTTGAACTGTAATCAGCATGGCTGGCAGTTCGAACCCAGCAGCAGCAGCTCCTCGGTATATGATACTAGCCCTCACAACCGAATGGGTCCCAGGGTGGTTGAATAATTGAGGGGTAAAATTAGAGACATCAGACCAGATAAGGCATGCAAGTGCTCACCTCTGGGACCGCCGTAACTTCAGGAGCCAGGTCCGCACACACAGAGAGAATATATATTTCCAACCATAGCTTATATACTGGTGGTGGTGGGGGATGCAAACCCCCTAATTACAGGTAACCACATACATAACAAAGTGGGCTGCACCCTGAGTACATAGGAGTAACCTAACAACAGTGGCTGGGGCAGGTATGGGGGAGTGGCTGTCTTCAGAGTTTAGAGAGCCCATGTTAAAAGCTGCAGACTAGCCATGTGCTTGTAAGAGGTAACTTTAAGGTAGCACTATTATGGGAAGATATAGTGGAATCTAAGGGTGGGGAGGGGTCAACTGGATGAGATGGGGGTGTGTGTGCAAACCCAGTGTCCTCCAGCTGTTAGGTAGAGGGGGTGTCTAACACTGGTGGTGCTTCTATTGCATGTGCTAAAGTAAGCACTTCACATACTTTATCCTCTGGACAGCCCCACGTTTCTTGGCAGTTGCTGTCGAGTCAGTTCTGCTTCATGGAGACCCCCTGGGTGCAGAGCAGAATGGCTCCGTAGGGTTTGCAAGGCTGTGACCTTTAGTAAGCAGATGGCCAGGCTTGTCTTCCAAGGCGCTGGATGGGTTCAGCCCACCAACTTTCCCACCAGCAGCTGAGAACTGAACTGTTTTCACCATCCAGTGAGTCCAAACGACCCGGGAAGCAGGTGGGACTCATAGTTTTCAGACAAGTAAAATTAAGGCTTACCAAGGTGAAGGGGACTTGCCCAAGTTCACCTCTGCATAAACGGCAGAGGCAAGATTCCATGGACTGCGCAGTCCTAAGCCTTTAGCTGGCGTGCCATGCCCCTTGCTAACTTGACCTGCTGGGCTGTGGTCAGCATAGGGCTCTAGTCACTTGGTGTCACACACGAGTCTCCTTGTGATAGGCTGGCAGAACCACAGCCCAGATAACCACTTTGCCCTTGAATCCTTGTCTTGAGTTTTTTTTCCCTGAAAGACTTGAAGAGCTCGTCCAAATTCCCGAGGCCCAGGAGCTGCCTGATGACCTTCTGCCTAACCTTGCCCAGGTTCATGGCTACCAGCGACCTGATGTCGGAGCTGCAGAAGGACTCCATCCAGCTGGACGAGGACAGTGAGCGCAAGGTGGTGAAGATGCTGCTCCAGCTCCTGGAGGACAAGAATGGGGAGGTCCAGAACCTGGCTGTCAAGTGGTGAGGGTTGGCCTACAAGGGGGGCCAGGGAGGGCACTGGCAGGGGGTGGGAGGCCCCCGGGGGTCCTGCCCCTTTGGGGTACAGCCTCTGAGAAAAGAATTGCTGAGCAGCTCTTGGAGCCCCCATGCCTGAGCCCAGGTTTCCCCAGGAGCCAACCCCAAGATAAGAATTGAAGGGTCAGTTGTTGTTTTTTTTTATTATTAAATAATCATTTTATTAGGGGCTCATACAACTCACCACAATCTGTACATATGTCACTCGTGTCCAGCACATTAGTACATATGTTGACTTCATTTTCACAACACCCACTTTCCACTTGAGCCCTTGGTGTCAGCTCATTTTTTCCCCTCCCTCCCCGCTCCCCCCTCCCTGAAGGGTCAGTTTTATGTGGGATGTGATGCCAGGAAACACTGACAGGGACAGTGGGAATGTGGCAGTGGAAGGAGTCAGTAAAGAGTGGGTTATCAAGCAGCTTACCACTGGGGGTGACTGGAGTCTTGAAATTTCCCCACCCGGAGGGCACGGGAACTGCGGTATTAATTCACCACTTTTCATCAGTCATTGGTCCTGGGGTAGCGGGAGGTTTATGGATTCTCACCTCTCTAACCAAAGAAGGTGCCCAAACAGAGATGCCAGTATTGGCAGTTGGAAATCAAGTTGGCACGCACCCAAGTGGTAAGGGCTGAAGGGATATGGGGGTGGGGCTCTACCCTGTTCTGCCCCGGGCACTGTGAGTTGGTGGTCCCAAAACCTTGAGTTGCCTCAAATGCTGAAAAAGCCAGACTGTGCGTGTGAGCAGGGCATGTGTGCACATGTGTGGACGGACGGTGGGCAGGGCACTGCGGAATGGCAGGTGGTTTGGCCGCATGGAGGGTGGACAGGATGAGAATTGAGGTATAGCCTTTGTGAGCTGGGCTTAGACATCCCTGTGGGCTGTTTCCTGAAACGCAACATCACCTCCGGAGTGAAGAGAAGTCCGTAAAGACTGTACACAGGCCAGGGCCTGGCCAGCTGTGTGGTCTAGGAGCAACTCCTCTGGCTGTGGAGTGGAGATAAGGCAAAGCATCGGCTACCCACGAGCAGGAGGAATACCCACTTTTTTTTATATAATGAAGGGCTTGGGATACTCTTTTCCCTATAATGAAACCAAATTTAAAGATAAGATAACCTACCTATACGTTTGGATGAAAAACCCATTGCCACCAAGTCTGTCCTAACTCATAGGAACTGTATATAGGGTCTCGGAGGCTGTAAATCTTTCCAGGAACATAGTGCTTAGTTTTTCTCCCTCAGAAGGACGGGTCGCTTTGAACAGCCACCAGCTTTGCAGTTAGCAGCCACTGCTTAGCCGACAGCATCCCCAGGACTCCTTAAGGACATTTGCGACAGAACTCAAGCTCATAAACCAGAACCAGGCCTGCTGATCAGATGTTGACTGTGGAACCCTCAAACATGGCCCTTCAGGCCAGGAAGTGATGGCTCAATTTCAGTCCAGCAGTGGACAGAACCATATTGTTTGACACTAGTGAGGCACATATACCTTAGAAGAATCAACCAGGAGAGCAAAGGGACAGCACTAATCCATAGACAGAGCTCCAGAGGGTTAGGAACGAAGGAGGAATGGACACAGGAAACACAGGGAAGAAGTGGGATATATTATTTCCGAGGTGGGGCTTGAAAGCAATGAGATGGAACACAAGGCGTATGCACTGTTGAGTGGAAAACTCATCTGCCCTGTCAGCCTTCACCCAGTTCACCATAAAAAGAGAATTTTTAAAATAAATAAGTGGAATTTTACCACTAACTCGTCTGAGCCTCCTTGCATAGTACCCTCCTAAGCTGTCATACACAGGAAACTAATTTATCATAAAATAGCACGAGTGGTGGGTGGCCATGTTGATAGTAAAAATGGCAGAAGCCTGCACCTAGGTGTAGAATTGTCACAGTTCCCGTGGTAGAGATGGACGCAGGTGTGGTGGCCTGGGAATGTGGACACCACACGTGGCATTGCTCTGACTGTGGCAGTTGTCCGAAATGGTAAAGTTGCCCAGAAATCAAAATATAGTCTTCCCTCAATTTACCCAATAACTGCATCTTTGGGAAATTCGTTTCTATATAAAATGAAGTTATGTTCTAAACTCAGTTAATTATAGAAAGGTATATATTCTTGTCATCATATAAATGCCCAGGGGGGTGTTAGAAAGTCCTGCAGGATGTAGAACAGTGCTGTGTTTTGCAGCCTTGTCTTTTTAACTTCCTGGGCCACTGGGGAAAAAAAGGGCCAGATTTACCAACTAATTAGTTATGATGACCCTGAAAAAAAGACCTCAGAAAATAGCCAAAATGTCCCTGAATGACCACTGCTATTTGAATCCATGATAGAGCAGGTAAGGGGAGAGAGGACCTGTGAATGTCTGGGTGAAGGAGTTGATGGAGAAAGATGCAGAGAGAACCAAGGTCTCTTGGCAAACTTTGATGTGAATTTGGAATCACCTGGGGGCTCTTGCTGAAACTCAGATGCAGAAGCCTGGGGGTGGGTGGAGGGGAAAGGATGAGAATAAAGGCCCAGGTGGCAGCAATGCCCCGCTAAGGCTGAAGACCAGTGAGTCAGGTGCTGCCTGGCTTCAAAACCACGTGTGTATTCAAGCCCCTGGGACCTTGGTCAACTTTCACAGCTTCTGGATCAGTAGGCTCAGAAATGAATCCGCATTTCTAACCAGTTCCCAGTTGCTGTAGCTGAGGCCGAGCTGGGAGCACATGCAGGGCAGGCATGCTCTGAGGGCCGTCCCTGGGCCAGTAGCACCGCCTGGGAACTTGCTAGACATGCAGTCTTTTTTTTTTTTTTTTGACATGCAGAGTCTTGCAGGGCACTCAGACCTCCTGAATCTGAAACGCTGGCACTGGTGGCGTGTACGTGTGTGGGGAGGGTGGGGGCGGGTGGGGGGGCGCCATCTGTTTTAATCAGGCCTCCTGATAATTCTGACAAGTTGGAGGCTCCCTGCTTAGGGACACCCTTGCTTTCTGAGGTCACTGGGTTTGGCCACCTGTTGAGATGCAGGTTGAGGGTGTGCCAGGGATGATGCTGGCATGCCCAGCGTCTCTTTCTGGCAGAGCAGAGGGCTCCCTGTGGATCCAGCTTAGGTGGCCCTCTGGGGGTGAAGGGGCGGGCTGACTCAGGCTGAGCCTGGGGCTCTTCCCCTCACCTCCCGCAGCCTGGGCCCTCTGGTGGGCAAAGTGAAGGAGTATCAAGTGGAGGCCATTGTGGACACCCTCTGTGCCAACATGCAGTCCGACAAGGAGCAGCTTCGAGACATCGCCGGCATTGGCCTCAAGACTATCCTCTCGGAGCTCCCACCCGCAGCCCCAGGTACCTAACCCTCCAGGTCCCAGGTGCCAGGGACTGGCCGCCCAAACCAAGCCCACGGCCATAGAGTCAATTCTGACTCCGAGTGACCTGCTAGGACAGGGTACAACTGCCCCTGTGAGTTTCCAAGACTGTCACTCATTATGGAAGTAGAAAGCCTCATCTTTCTCCCTCAGAGCGCCTGGTGGGTTTGAACTGCTGGCCTTGTGGTTAGCAACCCAACTCATACCACTATAGTACCACGGACTCTGGGTTCCATTATTATTACTTGGACCGTCATTATTTGTCCCAGCTTACAGATGAAGAAACTGAGGCTCTGAAAGTGAAACTCACTCAGCTAGTAAGTGGCCAAGATGAATTTCACACCCAGATTGCCTGAAATCCATGGCTCTAAGTCAGTTTGGAATGCGTTGACAAAAATTTAAAATAAATAAATAAAAAGA